GGTGGTAGATGCCATCAGGAAATCCGATTTCTCTCACTGACCCATGGACACCAACAAGATAGCACTGGGGGCCTTCTCTAAGGCAGGAGCGTTCCCAGGAGTTGTTTTTTTAAATAACAAGCATAAGTTTGCCACATATGTTCTTTGTTTTCAATTCCTTCAACTTAAAAAAAATATACTCTTGGCCAGATGCTGTGGCTCACGCCTGTAATTCCAGCACTTTGGGAGGCTGAGGCGGGCGGATCACTTCAGGCCAGGAGTTCGAGACCAGCCTGTGCAACATAGTGAACCACATAGCCACCAGATGGCGCAACCGAGGCAGCCCCCATCAGAGAGGTTTGCAGGCCTGAACTGCCACCCTGTGGCAAAAAGAGGAAATACGCGGAGTGCCGTCTTTTCACCCTTTGTGACCAATGCACCAAATCCTGACCACAGTCTCCCCAACCCACTGCAGGCCCTGGACAAAGTACAGAGAATACGAATATGGGCACTTGATGGACAGAAACTCTTCCCTGGCCATATCTGTTTCTCCTGGAACTAACCCTGCCAGTCCTTCCCCAAGCCTGGCATGGAGGGCTAGGGACACTTTTCCTACAGTCAGCCCTCAGGTAGAGGGCATTGGCAAGGGAGCAGGAGAGATGCTGGGCCTTCTCAGCCTTTCTATCCCTGGCATTCCTGAAGTCAGGTGACCTCCCACCCCATGCTGTGCCTTCATTTTTTCATCCGACCACGTTGTTCATTTGCAAACCTTCATACTGAGTAGGTGTGAAACGCTGAGACAGCAAGAATTCAGAGGTGTATCTGGCTCCCAGTTCCCGTGGGTGATGTCAAAAACCCTAAGGTGACTCCAGCCATGCTGTCATGCAGGTAGCCCTCAAAAGAGACTCCTCTAACCCAGTCTTGAGGGCTCAGTGGAGGCTTCCTAGATGAGGTGATATCAAAACTAAGATCTGTGGTTGGGCGAGGTGGCTTACACTTGTAATCCCAGCACTTTGGGAGGCCAAGGTGGGAGGATTACTTGAGGTCAGCAGTTCAAGGCCAGCCTGGCCAACATGGCAAAACTCTGTCTCTACTAAAAATACAAAAATTAGTCAGGCGTGGTGACGGGTGCCTGTAATCTCAGCTACTTGGGAGGCTGAGGCAGGAGACTCTGTTAACCCTGGGAGGTGGAGGTTGCAGTGAGCTGAGATTGCACCACTGCACTCCAGCCTGGGCAATAGAATGAGACTATCGAAAAAAACCAAAACAAAAACAAAAAACAAACAAACAAAAAAAACCCTAAAGACCTGCAGGGTGGGTATGACTGACCCAGGCAGAGAGGGTGGGATGAGAGTTCTAGGCAGAAAAAGAAAAATGCCAATCAATGTGTAACAGTGAGGCATCTAGTGGAATATTCTAGCTAGCATAAAAATGAGTCTCTTGGCTGGGGCACTGAAAGATGAGAGGACAGAGGAAGCCAGAGCCTGGGAAGTTTGATGAGAAGTTTGGACTTTACCTAGACAGCAAAGATGAGCCATTGAAAAGTTCAGTGTAGAAAGGTCCTTCTAGAAGTAGTGTGGAGAATGGACTGCAGAGATCCAAGGCCAGTGAGGAGGCTGGGACAATAATCCAGGTGAGATTCAGTGGGTCCTAAAGCTAGGCGGTGGCGGAGGGGTGGGGAACAGTGGAATAAAAGCTTCCACACACTCCTTAAGTGGTGAGGCTCCTGGATTTCCCAATGGAGCCTTCGAGATCCATCTAAGTTGTTGTGTGTGTCTGTAGTTCATTCCTTTTATTGCAAGTAGTATTCCATTGTACGGATGTACCACAGTTTCTTTGTTCATTCATTCACCTATTGAAGAATATTTGGGTTTGTTCCAGTTGTAGGACATTAAAAATAAAGCCTCTCTGAACACTTATGTACAGGTTTCTTTTTCTTTTCTTTTTTTTTTTTTTTTTTTTTTTTTTTTGAGAGGAGGTCTTACTCTGTTGCCCAGGCTGGAGTGAAGTGGTACAATCTCAGCTCACTGCAACCTCCACCTCCCTGGTTCAAGTGATTCTCCTGCCTCAGCCTCCCAAGAAGCTAGGATTACAGGTACCCGCCACCATGCCCAGCTAACTTTTATGTTTTTAGTGGAAACAGCAGTTTCACCTTGCTGGCCAGGCTGATCTTGAACTCCCGACTTCAAGTGATACACCTGCCTCGGCCTCCTAAAGTGCTGGGACTACAGGCACGCTGCGCCTAGCTTCACGTAGAGGTTTCTGTGTGAACACAAATTTTTTTTTTTTTTATTGAGACGGAGTTTCACTCATGTTACCCAGGCTGGAGTGCAATGGTGCGATCTCGGCTCACTGCAACCTCCTCCTCCTGGGTTCAGGCAATTCTCCCACCTCAGCCTCCTGAGTAGCTCGGATTACAGGCACGCGCCACCATACCCAGCTAATTTTTTGTATTTTTGGTAGAGACGGGGTTTCACCATGTTGACCAGGATGGTCTCAATCTCTTGACCTCGTGATCCACCCGCCTCGGCCTCCCAAAGTGCTGGGATTACAGGCTTGAGCCACCGCGCCCGGCCACAAATTTTTATTTCTCTAGGGTAAATACCCAACAGCACAATTGCTGGGTTGTATGTTTAATTTTATAGGAAACTGCCAAATTGTTTCCCAGAGAGTCTGCACCACGTTACCTTGCCACTAGCGACATACAGTAGATCCAGTTGCTCAGTTGCTCCACATTCACACGAGCACTCAGTATTATGACTTTTTTTTTTTTTTTTTTTTTTTTTTGTAGTGGTTTTTGAGACGGAGTTTCACTCATGTTACCCAGGCTGGAGTGCAATGGCGCGATCTCGGCTCACCACAACCTCCGCCTCCTGGGTTCAGGCAATTCTCCTGCCTCAGCCTCCTGAGTAGCTGGGATTACAGGCACGCACCACCATGCCCAGCTAATTTTTTTGTATTTTTGGTAGAGACGGGGTTTCACCATGTTGACCAGGATGGTCTCGATCTCTTGGCCTCGTGATCCACCCGCCTCGGCCTTCCAAAGTGCTGGGATTACAGGCTTGAGCCACCGCGCCCGGCAGTATTATGACTTTTAAACAATTTTAGCCATTCTAATAGGTGTGTAGTAGTATTTAATTGTTGCTCTAATTTGCATTTCCTTAATGTCTAATGATGCTGAACATCTTTTTTTCTTTTTTTTTTTGAGACAGGGCTTTGCTCTGTGGTCCAGGTTGGGGTACAGTAGTGCAGTCATAGCTCCCTGCAGCTCAGCCTCCTGGGCTCAAGTGATCCTCCCAGCTCAGCCTCCTGTGTAGCTGGGACTACAGGTGCATGCCACCACACCCAACTGATTTTTGAATTTTGAACATATTTTCATGTGCAATTTGCCATTTGAGTATCTTCTTTGGTGAAGTGGTGTTCAAGGAGCTGACATTTTTATGGTTTAAAAATGTGCCAAGGCAGGCTGGGTGTGGTGGCTCATGCCTGTAATCCCAGCACTTTGGGAGGTCAAGGTAGGTGGGTCATCTGAGGTCAGGAGTTTGAGACCAGCCTGGCAAACATGGTGAAACCCCATCTCTACTTAAAAAAAATACAAAAATTTAGCCGGGTGTGGCGGTGGGCATCTGTAATGTCAACTACTTAGGAGGCTTAGGCAGGAGAATTGCTTGAACCCAGGAGGCGGAAGTTGCGGTGAGCTGAAATTGCGCCACTGCACTCCAGCCTGGGTGACAGAGTGAGATTCTGTTTCAAAAAAAAAAAAAAAGTGCCAAGTCATCCACACATCTATTCCTAACTTCTTCCCTTAGCTTTCGATTCACTTTCAAATGTCCCCCTGGCATCTGCATGAGTGTCCCACACCACTGCAATCTCAGCATGTCAGAGCCCAAACTGCCATCCCCCTCATAGGTCCTCCCCAGTGGAAGAACTAACATTTAGAAGTTTTATTATGGGCTGAACACTCAATTTTTTACACAGTAAGACAGGGGTCTTGTCACTGTGTGAACATCATAGAGTGTACTTACACAAACCTAGACGGTATTGCCTACTATTCACTTCGGCTGTATGGTATAGCCTATTGCTCCTAGGCTAAAACCTGCACAGCATCTGACTGTACTGAATACTGTAGGCAATTATTGTAATACCATGATGAGCATGTGTGTATCTAAACACAGCTAAACATAGAAAAGGTACAGTAGCCGGGCGTGGTGGCTCACGCCTGTAATCCAAACACTTTGGAGGCCAAGGCGGGCGGATAACCTGAGATCGGGAGTTCAAGATCAGCCTGACCAACATGGTGAAACCCCGTCTTTAAAAAAAAAAAGAATTTAATAAATAAAAAAGAAAAGGTACAGTAAAAATATAGTATGATAATCTTATGGGACTACCATCATATAAGCAGTCTGTCATTGACCAAAACATCATCATATGGCACATGACTGTATTTGATTAATTTCATCCTCACAATAGTTCTATACAGGAAGTACTCTTATTACTTCCATTTTAAACTTGAGAAAATGAGACACAGCAAGGCTGAGTACCTCTCCCAAGCTTGCACAGTTGGCAAGTATCTGGTAGGACCATCCCGACCACCTGAGAATCATCCTTGAGCACCTATCTTTCTCACCTCCCCATGTCTAATTAAGGCCTGGAGATTTTACTTCCAGAATATTTTCGTCCATTGTCTCTTCTTTCCTCCTGTCTTTATGACTACTGCTCATCATCTTTTCTCTGGCCTAGACCATTATACCTTTTTGTTTCTTTAGTCTTCCACGTAGAAACTTTCAAACACAAAAGGAGAGAGAATCATACAATGAATATGTCCATTGCGTAGCCACAACCAATGCAAACTCATGGCCATTCATATGATTTTTACCCTCTACTTCCTTCACTCCCTGCCACCATTCAACTGAGTATTCTTTTTTTTTTGTCTTTTAAAAAAATTCTTTTAGCCTTTTGTACACTGACACAGTGGTAAAAGAAAATTACAGAAAAGTAAATGTAAAAAGAACACTGCAAATAATTGTATACATTTATCTTACATGTCAGTGAAAAATCACCAACTATTATAAAAACAGGACAAATTATATCACAAAGAAGCAAAAATTAGAAACAAATTCATAAAACACATATCCAACTATGAAAGTATGGCTCTCTTGGTTTCTTCACATCCTTCTCTTCTGTGTAGTGACGTACTTTCCTTGGATAAATGCATCCCCATACTTTTTTTTTTTTTTTTTTTGAGACAGAGTCTGTCTCTGTCACCCAGGCTGGAGGCTGCAGTGCAGTGGTGCAATCTCAGCTCACTGCAACCTCCATCCCAGAGTCAAGCTATTCTCCCGTCTCAGCCTCTTGAGTAGCTGGGACCACAGATGTGCGCCACCACACGCAGACAATTTTTTTTTTTTTTTTTTTTTAAGTACAGAAAGAGTTTCACCATGTTGGCCAGGCTGGTCTCAAAACTCCTGACCTCAGGTGATCTGCCCACCTCGGCCTTCCAAAGTGCTAGGATTACAGGTGTGAGCCTCTGTGCCCAGCCTCCCATACTTATTCTTCAGTGGTCCATTTACATATTCTTCTGTTGACTCCAAGGCTATATTTATGTAGCCATTCTGGGCAAGCCAGGAGCCTCGATAATCTATTCTAGAATTTATTTTTACCACAACTGGCCGTCTGATGATTTGCTTTAAGAAATCACTAGGGGTTTGCTTCTGAAGACTCATTTTAAGAATCCTAAATCCCACAGGTGGGATCCATAACCCTCACTCCAGGTGTCCCACAAGCCCAACTGAGTGTTTTGACTCGAATCTCAGACATCATAGTAATTCATCCATACATGTTTCATACATATCCATAAAGGGAGTATGCATCTTTATTTTGTTTTGTTTTTGTTTTTTGTCACCCAGTCTAGAGTGCAGTGATGCAATCTCGGCTCACTACAACCTCTGCTCCCAGGTTCAAGCGATTCTCCTGCCTCAGCCTCCTGAGTAGCTGGGACTGTAGGTACCCACCACCGTGCCTGGCTCGTTTTTGTATTTTTAGTAGAGACAGGGTTTCACCATGTTGGCCAGGCTGGCCTCAAATTCCTGACCTCGTGATCCGCCTACCTCAGCCACCCAAAGTGCTGGGATTACTGGCATGAGCCACCGTGCCTGACCAATATGCATCTTTAAAAGATAACTTTTGAAGAACAGAATCATAACATTATTAGAATGATGCATTAATAATATTTCTTTATCATCTAGTCCATGTTGGAGTTGTTATCTATTGCTGTGTAATGCAGTGGTTTAAAACAACAATAAATGTATTATTGCTCACAGTTTCTGTGGGCCAGGCATTCAGAAACAGGTTGTAGATTGGTGAGGCAGTTCCAGCTCAGTGTCTCCTGAGACTGTAGTCACCTGAAAGTTTGAAACTGCAGGATCTGCTTTCATTGGTGACTCCTACCCACTGGCTGGCAAGTCAGTGCTGGCTGTGAGCAGGGGGTTCCAATCTTCACTTTGAGGCTCTCCACAGGGTGGCTTGAATGGCCTGTATAACATCCAGCCCTACAGGGTCCTGTGAGCCCCTCTCTACAGATGTGGAGATGAGAAACTGTGGAAATAAAAAACAAAGACACCGAGAAAGAGAAAACAGAGTTTGGGCCCAGAGGTCCACTGCCAACCAAAGCACAGAGTCCGGCAGTGGCCCCGAGTGCCTGGACGCTCTGACTTGAGTAGGAAGCAGCAGGCAGGGTAGGTAGGGCCAGGCACTGGTGGTCAGTGATAGGGTCAAGTCAATCACGTCTTGGAGATAGGGGGCCAGGACTTTCAAGTAGCCGAGGCGAGGAGAAAACCCAATGTGTCAGCACTTTTTCCATACTTGTCAAGAAATAACAAGGACCTTAATATTTATGTTACTATTACTAATTCTTATCTTCTAAGAAAAACAGGTGCAGAAGCGGAACATGAAAATAGACATGGAACGTGACCACTGAAGCACAGAACCACATAGAGACAATTAAGCCCCCGAATGTCTGTGGGAGAGCTTGGAGGAACAGAGTTTTCTCCTCACTCACCAGTGGAAGGAGACACCTTAGACATCTTAGATGTCTCCTTCCCTAGCTGGCTAAACAGCGGGTGCTTTCCCAGCACCGACGCTGCCGCACAGCCAAGGCACCCTCCAGCAGCCCTTATGCGGGGCGTGACGGGGGCTTAGAGCATCTTGACTTAGGGTCACCTCCTTCCCACTGCCACTTCAGTTCCACACTTCATGACCTGAGAATCATTAGTAAAATTAGAAGGTTATATTGAGTATATGTATTTCTGTGATTACATATGAATAACTATGTGATTATTTATGATTATAGGAATAACTATGTAACTATAACTCTAATTCTTTTCTAGTTCCATATTTATATGGGAACAGGCTGAGGCTTCAGACTCTCCCCTCACGACTTGCGGAGTCTCCCATGGGGTCTCACCCCAACAGGCCCCAGAACCTGTATTTTGTTTCCCCCAGAGCAAGTGATCCAAGGAGCCAAGGAGGAAGCTGCAATGCCCCTGAAGATCTGGCCTTGGAAGCCACACACACTTCTGCGGTATTCTCTTGGTCATGCATGCCAGCCTGCTTCAATGTGGAGAACTCTGCCAGGGCACGCCAAGGTGAGCATCCTTGGGGCCATCTTGGAGAATGTGAATCGGGGTTCAAATTGCCCCAACTGTTTCCCTTTTTCTTTTCCTTTTCCACTTGGGTTTTTTGGTTTTTGTTTTTTGAGACGAAGTCTCACTTTGTCGCCCAGGCTGGAGTGCAGTTGTGTAATCTTGGCTCACTACAACCTCTGCCTCCCAGGTTCAAGCAATTCTCCTGCCTCAGCCTCCTGAGTAGATGGGATTACATGGTGCCTGCCACCATGCCCAGCTACTTTCTGTATTTTTAGTAGAGATGGAGTTTCACCATGTTGGTTGGGCTGATCTCAAACTCCTGCCCTCAAGTGATCCACCCACCTTGGCCACCCAAAGTGCTGGGATTACAGGTGTGAGCTACCGCACCCGGCTTCACCTGGTTTATTTGAATCAGGAATCAAACAAGATCACATCATTGACTGCATTTTATTGATATGGCTCATGAGTCTCTTAATGTCTAGGTTTCCTTTTCTCTCTTTTTGGATTTATTCTTTGCCATAGTTTTTGAAAAAAGAAACCAGTAGTTTGAACTGAAAGTTTTCTTTTTATTATTAATTGACAGATAAAACCATATATATGTCCAACATCTTTTGAAGTGTATACACATTGTAGCATGACCAAATCTAGTGAACTGACATATGTATTATTACTTCATATAGAACTTAACATGATTTAGATTCAATTTTTTTCCCCCAGGCTGGAGTACAGTGATGTGATTACGGCTCACTGCAGCCTCAACCTTGCAGGCTCAATTGATCCTCCCACCTCAGCCTCCCAAGTAGCTGAGACCACAGGTGTATTTTTGTATTTTTTGTAGAAATGCGGTCTTACTATGTTGCCCAGACTCGTCTCAAACTCCTGGACTCAAGCAATTCGCCCACTTCAGCCTCCCAAAGTGCTGGAATTACAGGTGTGAGCCACTGTGCCCACCCCAGATTCAATTTTTTTGAATTGAAAACTTCATTGGTGGGCCAGGTGCGGTGGCTCACCCTGTAATCCCAGCACTTTGGGAGGCCAAGGTGGGCAGATCACTTGAGATCAGAAGTTTGAGACCAGCCTGGCCAATATGGTGAAACCCCATCTCTATTAAAAATACGCAAAATTCAACAAGAAGGACGTCCATAAAAAAGAAAAAAAAATACAAAAAATTAGCTGGGCGTGGTGGCAGGTGCCTTGTAATCCCAGCTATTTCGGAGGCTGAGGCAGGAGAATTGCTTGAACCTGGGGGGCAGAGGTTGTAGTGAGCCAAAATCACGCCACTGCAACTCCAGCCTGGGCAACAGAGTGAGAGACCTCAAAACAAACAAACAAACTTCACTTGTAGTATTGTTTACTTCCATCAGGAGGTATGTGATGTCAGGTTGTCTGTCATAATATGATGTTAATGGCCCTTCTCATGACCTAGCAGAGGTTTGATGCAATAGTGCCTCATACCAGGTCTTCAGTAACTGTTGACTCACCCCCTCCATTTCCTACTCGTCTCTTCCAACTTTCCAAGTCAGCAAAAACCTGTTTTTGCAGCTCCTTGCACTCCCTGTGCTGGAACTACTCGTCTGTTCTTGTGCTAATCCCTTGACCGGAAATATCCACTCCCACTGCCTTTCTTAATCTCTTCACTTGCCTCACTTTGACTTAACCTTTGAGATTTACTTAGCTGAAATGTCATCTCCAAACCACTTTCTCTGACCGACCAGACCAGGCTGTGTCTCCTGCTGTTGTCTCATGGCCCACTATGCTTAACCCCTGTTTACAGGTAACATTCACATGTGGCTCTCCAGCGCTGCCCAGTGGTGAAGGACTACAAAGTAGGAACTGTCTTCTCCATCTTTATCCCCAGCTTGAACATAATGGATCCCCTCATCTGCTCACCATGCTTAGAAAGAACATACTGTTGCTTGGCCAGGCCGGGTGGCTCACACCTATAATTCCAGCACTTTGAGAGGCTGAAGTGGGCAGATCACTTGAGGTCAGGAGTTCGAGACCAGCCTGAGCAATGTGGGGAAACCCCCTCTCTACTAAAAATACAAAAAATTAGCTGGGCGTGGTGGCGGGCGCCTATAATCCCAGCTACTGGAGAGGCTGAAGCAGGAGAATTGCTTGAACCCAGGTGGGGGTTGCAGTGAGCTGAGATTGTGCCACTGCACTCCAGCCTGGGCCACAGAGTGAGATTCCATCTAAAAAAAAAAAAAAAAAAAAGGACATGCTATTTCTTCTTTCAACACAGAGGACCTTCCACTTCTGCCACCCACCAGTGCCTTCTTTGGTCTAGTTTAGGCCTACAGGTCTGCTACACATGGAAAGAGCTGCTGTTTGTTATCCTCTTCCATTTAATTAATTGGTCATTCGTCAGCTGGCTGGGGGAAGAAAGACTAAAAGGAGTGCTCGCTCTTCTACATTTATTTGGTTACAAAGATTTGGGGTGGATTTTGCTCAAACCTCTTCACAATTTCCCTTTCCACCCTTGGCCAGAGCCATAGCCAGGATGTAGGTCAGGATGGAAAGGATGACTCCAGCCCAGGAGGACTAACCTTAATGCTGCTTACATAGGTTAACAATGAAGGGTAGGGCTCTGCAGACAGTGTGCCTAGATCCTTTCTGGACAGACATCTGCCAGTCAGTGCCTGCTGGCATGACCCTGGAAGTAACCGACCGTATTCTGTAAAAACACCACCTTCTTAGACTACTGGGGATGTTAAGCATCCATGTAAGGCACTTCGTACAGTGCCTGACCTTGTAAGCCCTCAAAAGTTTAGTTATGCCTTATACTTTTCCCCAGCAAAAGGATAAAATAGGGGCTTTAAAGAGTCTTTAAGACCAGCCTTTTCTCAAAGTCAGCAAGAGAGAAAAGATGCTTAAGGAATATTTCCCAAGCTTAAAGAAAATGGCTATCTTAGTTGGCACGGGTGCATGTAAAGTCCAAACAGGTCAACTGGGAGTAACCTTGATGAACCAGTCAGCATGGTCAAATTCTAACAGGAAGGCCTGGGTCTACAATATGACAAGCAGAGGACAAGCATGGTAAAATTGAGCAACTAAGCTGGGCGTGGTGGCTCAACCCTATAATCCCATCACTTTGGGAGGCCAAGGTGGGAAGATCATTTGAGGAACAGGAGTTTGACATCAGCCTGAGCAACATGGCAA